ATTTTGTGTTTTATGACCTTCATGAATGTTCACAATTTTGGCCCTTTGTTGGGGAGGGACCAAAAAGAGTGGGCCGATATATTCCATCTTCACACCAGACCTTGCGTTAATAAAAAATATTGTGATATGGGTAATTTGAAAGCAATAGGACTCGTATATCACATTTTATAAGAGTTATAATTATTCCAAATGTTGACCCTTTGTGGGGGAGGTACCGGCAGAAATGATCGGATCTCAACCATATTTATAACAGATCTTGTGTTGATGAAAATATTGAGACGTGCCAAGTCTGAATGGAATCGGATGTTCATTTCGTGTTTTATGAGCTTCATGAATATTCCAGATTTTGACCCTTTGTGGGGAATGTACCAGAAGGAGTGGACCGATATATTTCATCTTCACACCAGTCCTTGTGTTGATAAAAATATTGTGATGTGGGTAATTTGAAGAGAACCGGATGCTTCCATCGGATTTTATGATCGTTTTGTTTATTAAAAAATTTGACTTCTTGTGGGGAAGGCACCAGAAGGAATGGTTCGATCTATACCATCTTTGTAACATATATTGTCTTAATGGATATATTGAGGTGTACCAAGTCTGAACGGAATCGGATGTTAATTTCGCGTTTTATCAGCTTCATGGACATTCAAAATGTTTATCCTTTGTGGGGGAGGTACCAGAAGGAGTGGACCGATATATTACATCTTCACAACAGACCTTGGGTTAATAAAAATATTGTGATATGTGTAATTTGACTCGGACTCTTACATCATATTTTATAAGAGTTATAATTATTCAAAATGTTTGTCCATTTTCGCACCTAACCTAGCACTGATGCAAATATTAGTATTTGCAAAGTTTGAGTAAAATCTGATTATCCTTTCTCTTTCTGTGAAGCAAATTATTTTCCTTAAAAATTTTGACATTTTGTGGTACCAGAAGGAGTGAACCGATATTTTCCATCTCCGAACTCGATCTAAGTTTGACAATAATATTACGATGTACCAAGTATGGATCAAATCGGATACTTCCTTCGAGAATTATAGTGCGCACCAGCCAGCAAGAAAGGCAGATGGACGGACACCGCTTGATCGATTCCAAATGTCCTGAAACGGATTTGGTCCAAAGACACCTAGGTTCTACAACTGTTTTGTCGATGAGGCACGTTTTGGCCGTATCAAAAGATATACGCCCTCTCTAGCCATAAGGCTGAGGGTAAAATGAATTAAAGTTTCCGAATTTCATCTTGGATAAAGGTAAAGATCGTGTCTATTTGACCCAGCTTTTTATTTGTTAACCTACAACAGCAGGGGACTATATTAAACATTTTTTGAAAAACCTGTTCCCTATGATCTCAAAACCTGTGTAGGGTATTTGCCATGACTATGCAATACACATTATTAACACGACCAGCAAAAGACTCCCTTTTGTGTTTTGTTGTGAAAATGCCACATTTGAAGAGAAGCGACGACGACGACGGAGACAACAACTACGACGAAACGTGATTCAAGTGCCAATGTAAGATTTTCAAGTTCAGTAGAGGTTTTTTTCCTTTTGTTATTCTACGTATTCGCTGTTGTTTTCTTTTTTACCATTTTTATTTTCTACGTTTATTTTCTTAGTTGTGTTTATTTTTTTATTGCACATCGCAGTAGAGTTCGTTGAAAAGTAGTACCATATGATGACAATAATGTAGGTATGTGCTGATGGTGGTGGTGGGGGTCATACATACGTTCCTACTAGATGCATTGTTTTGTTTTCATTCGTTGAGGGAGGGCAAAGGGAAGCCCAAAACGATGACGACAAAAAGATACGAAACATGGTTTCAATCAAACAAAATAGACCCACAATCATTTTCACTATTCTCCGTCGTCATCATCACAAACATCAGGGAGTACTGTCGATTGGAAATCCCCGTGAAAAAGGCCATAGACCTTTTTTTGGGGAAACTACCTACACAACACACTTTCTTTTAATTATTGTTGATTAAACGAAAAAGTATATATATAGCAGCCAATTTGTTGCATTTGCTATGACTACTTTCATTATTATGATTATTAACATTGCCATTGGCCACAGACAAGACCTACCCAACCAGCCAGCCATTCACTCATTGATTCTTAGGGCCATTTAATGGTGTAAGAGGTCATTAACCATCTCAACACTAGACTACGAGATAGCAGTTTTTTTCTTATTGCTCGTCTTTTTTTCCTTTTCATTCTTCTTACTGTCAATTCTAGTATGACCTGTTGTTGTTGTTGGCGGTGCTACTTTTACACCCGGCTTGTTTGGGATTTTTCCTACTACACACAAGAGTAATTGTTGTTGTTGTTGCTGTTATGTTTGACTCTAGATTATAGTTCATTGTCCACTGGTTACCTGTTTCAATGTCGAAGTAAACAAAATCAACAGGAAAATACGACGAAGAATACAACTTTTTCTTTCTTTAATTGAGATGAAGTGATAAATAGAAATATGGGATCTAAGAAAAGGAAATTGAGAATGAAATATTTTGTCTTGACATTCGTAGAAAGAAATTATTTTTTCTAAGATACTGGATTGAAGATCTTGATTTTGAAAATAAATGTTCAGTCTCATAGAAAATTGATATTTTGAAAAAATGAAGGGACACAATTCTTAACCTTAGATGTATTGACCGGAATATATCAAGACTTTCCTTTAGAAGCTCTACAAATCCTCCTATAGAAGTTCGAAAGAACTTCTTAAAGATTTCCTGGCCTTCTAACATATCCGTAGTTCTTATAGAGTATCTGTAGACGGACGAGAGACCTGTAAAACGGTTTACCCGTAGTTAGAGGATTTGCGAAAATTTCTAAATCTTTAGAGGATAATAAAAAACATAGACGGATCGGACAAAAACTATGTAGTTTTTACCTTTTAAAGGCGAATTAGTAGAATTTTCATAAAATTATATATTAATTAATATCTGAAAATTTTTAAATTTTTCTTGTAGAATTCCGATATCCATATTTTAGGATAAGGTCTAATCATATTTATTTTTTATAAAAAATTCTATTCGTTAGGTCGCTCTGTCGAAGAAGAATCCCTCAAAAATTCCCATTGTTAAAGAATACCTGGTAGGAGAATTAATGTTTTTGAATCACGGAAGGAGGAGGAGGTTAGATCTGGAGATAGTTCTTTTCGGTTCTCCTTCCACCTCAAAGAGACCGTGGTAATTAGTATCATCCTCCTCAGAAGGGATCCTTAAAGCTATCAAGTCTAGTGCTATTAAATCGATGGCTATTATTGACTGAAAGAAAATCCCTTTTGAATCGATTCACTAAGTCTTGTTGGGTCTCAGGACAGAAAGAGAAATTAAATGAACGACGAACTAGCTCGAGGTGGTTGCCAGTCGCTTGATCTACCAATCGATGGGACTGCCAAACCACCAATAAGCAATTATGTCAGACGTTTGAAAAATTACTATGGAAACGGTAACAAGGTATCTGGGGGACATCTGGACGGCAAACTCTGGAAGAACTTGCTACCTTCTATTGATTAGTAGGCCAAATATTAGGATATCTGACCTCAAGATAGGATAACAGTGGTCCTGACTACTACAGACTATGTGAGGAAGAGGTGGAGACGATTGAACATCTATTATTCAGAGCCTTGATGTCGAATAGGAGACAAAGGCTGTTCTGTAGACGGGAGATAGAAACTCAAGCGTTCTTCTCATCATCCATAGGTTTGCTCAATCATATCAGGGCTAGGTAAACCTTCATATTACTAGATATTTTTATCCCTTCATTTCTCTTTCTCGATTTATATCATTCCCTTCATCACTAATTCTTCCTAGAACGAGCACAACAGGCCAATGTTCTCTCGACCCTAGTGTAGATGCATATCCTGTAAAGCAATCAGTATTATCTCTTTCTCCACATTCGGACATCAATAGTGAGCTTAAATAACTTGTTCGTGGCGTTCACTACTCGGCATTCTGTATCATTAGGATAATTTCGCTACACCTTTCCCAAATAGTATTTCTCAACCGTTAACCAAAGTAGCAGAAAAGTGTCTTCTGGTTGATTTTGATATTCACCCTCGCTTTACTCGTACCTTTTTCTTATCAATTCATTTGCTTTTACGATTCCAATGATATTAAAATGGCCTGGGACCGAACCATCCTCAGTTTGATGATATAGAACTTTCGGGACCATCTGACCATATATTAATGAGCCTAGTCACCGGATCCTCAAGTTCACTGATTGGTAGCAGATTTAAATTTTTTTTGTGCTTTCATATTTAGTTCCCCAGCAACTGTAGCACTTTCTACATTACATTCATCGATCTACAGAAAGCATAGGGGGAAATGGATAAAAAAATTAGCTTTTCAATAAAAATTGCCCTACAAATTATTACCCACTGACTACGTCTTTGGTCAATAATCCTCGACTTTATGGAGAAATGGTAACAATATGGAATTTTGTTAGCCATGTGGGGACGAAGAGGCAAATATCAAATATTAGGCTTTTGGTCGGACAAACTATCGACGTTTCCCATTGCTTCTTTCACATTTTCTTAAAATTATAAAGTTAATCCATTCAAACTCGGCTCTTTTGCTTTACACTTCCATTTAAGAAGAAGGAAATATCGAATATTAAGCTTTTGATCGGACAAACTATCGACGTTTCCCGTTGCTTCGTTCACATTTTCTTAAAATTATAAAGTTAATCCATTCAAACTCGGCTGTTTTGCTTTACCGTTCATTTTCCTAGATGTCCATATAAAGTAGAATTTGATAATTTATAAAAAGGCAAAGGAAAATTTAACAACTATTTTCAATTCCCTATATTCGAAACTGTCTTCCTACGTCTAACTACAAGTCGTTTCATGGATGAGTATGAAAAAACATGCTTTTATGAAGTCATATAAGTGCAGTCCAATGACAGGACGTTAAAATTGCTTTGCAAACGTCTATTAACAAATAAAAGAATTAAATATTAAAACACTTTTATGAACAAACGAACAATGCTTACCTGAATTATAATAATCATCATATTCGCAATCATTATCAGAATATTCCATATCCGAGTCGGCTGACATGTTTCTTTAATTGTATAGTGTTTTATATTTTTGTTATTCCTTTATGACAGCAATTCCTTGATGTATTCCTTTTTAAAATTACTTTTGTGTGGTAAAAAAAATTGGAAAATGTCGATCGAAAGAGCACCAGACTTTTTTCCGATTAATTTTCTTGTTTCAAAATAAAAATGTTGATCGTTGTTAACACTCCGCACCAAATGAAGCAAACTCTTGCATAGAATACAATCGAAAAAGAAGAGCAGAGAACCGAACCGCCGCCGCCGACAGACAATGTGAACAAACCCGTGCCGCACACACACTCAACTGTTTCACTGGCTGACTCTGTGTGATTGCTTTGTATTGTTGTTGCTGCTCGTGGTGGTGGTGATGATGGTGGTGCGCTTACAAAATGACCCCTTGCGATGCAAAGTGGATGTGTGTAATAAACCAAAACGAACGAACAAAATACGTAGGGGAGCTGATGTTGTTCTCCACAGACAATGATTACAGGCTGCTAACTGACTGCCTGCCTTTGCCTTTTACAACAAAACACAAACAACATCAACGATGGAACACAGGGAACGTAACGTCGTCGTGGTGGAACACACAATCAGACGAGGGATGTAAAAACAGGCTGGCATAAAATTAATACGAAACGAAAGAAAAAGTACAAATAAACACCACCAGCCAGGATAGTAGTAAAACGAACGTAACGTACTACCAACCGAACGACTGACTCTGTCCGAGGAAGGTGTTACTACAGCTGATTATTGTTGTTCTTTTTCATATGGTCGGTTTCTACTGGAAAAACAAAACTCCACCGAGTATGGAATTTGTGGTGGATGATGGATAAAATAATGGTTGTTGTTGTTTTGGTTGGCCTTTTATGTTGGTTGATCCATCAACTATTTTGCTTCTCCGCTTTAATACAAACTCCACTCTCCGTTGCACCACCTAGCCAGTGCTATGAAAAGGACGATGGTAGTAGGCTGGGGGCAAAAATTGCTCTGCTTACTTTGTTGTTGCTGTTGACTTTTGGCTTAAAGATCAGGGTGGTTGTGCGATTTGTATGGATGCAGCAGCAGAGGCACACGAAATCTACGGGGTGGAGGCGTACGCTGCTATCAACTTGTTTTCCCTTTTTATTCTTTCTAGTAGGAGAGTACAATGCACCACCAAACGAGGGATGAATTGTGCATGTAGTTGCTTGGTTTTGTCACTTTTTGCAATACGCACTGCAAAGTTTTGTCTGCTGCTAAATAATTTAACAGTTTTAAATGTTTTACACAAAGAAGTTTTTATATATTTTTTCCAGAACTTCAAGTTATTGCAACATTACAACCACTGAGAGACACACACACACTAATACTACCAATGACCAACAATTCCAGTTGGAAAAGGAGAGGGGATTTTTTTACTATGTTCTTCTTTTGTCGTTTTTTCTACCTTTGATACGGTTTTCATAGGTTCTTTTTTGTTTTGTTCAAATCCCCTGAATTTGTTGTTGTCGTTGGTATTGTTTTTACTGTTATTAGCAATAAATTTTGTTGTAATTTTCCTCTTTTTTTCCCGTTTAGACTCGACGACGAAGAGCTTTGTAATTTCTGTGCCAGTTAAGGGGCCTATAGTGGTTGATTGCAATTAGAGATCTAAAAATCGATAAAAGAACTTATCGATTAATACACTTTGTTGGTTTGAGTGCCGTGGCAACACGTTAAGTGTGATTATCAATGCTTTGATTATAGAACATTAGAGAAAAATTGGAAAATTTTGAGAAAATAAATCTAAAGTTGATGTTAAGAGTTAAACAGAGCAAAGTTTAAATCGCGAGTTCAGTGTAAAAATACAACACACAAAACGAAACGCGAAAATACAACCACTCGTAACTGACAACAGTGTTGCATTTTTGCGCTGAAGTCAAGATTTAAGTTTTAATCTATTTTAGCCTTTGAGGGTAAAAAGAATAAAACTTCGTTGCTTATGTGTTCTTCTTTGCTTTAAAGCGTGAAGTCTAAATTGTACTGCTTCCAAATTTTAGACGAATTGAAAATCATTGCTGGCTTTCACGTTGACGTTCGATTTGACATAAAAAACCAAAACATATGTCCCCATGATAAAAAAAATCATTGGGATCCAAACATTGGTAATTATCATAAATAGTTATTTTTTCCTTTATTCAATAAAATGTGTTATAAAATAAGAAACTTTAGTTTGTGAAATAAATATAAGATTGGTCCACCATTATATGGAGGATATATTTGCTTTGTTATTCCGTTTGTAACACCTCGAAATATTCATGATAGACCCTACAAAGTATATATATGTATTCTGGATCAGCGTAAAATTATTAGACGATTTAAGGATGTCCGTCCGTCCGTCTGTCTGATGTAATCACGCTATCTTTCGAACGAATTGAGCTATAAGACTAAAATTTTCCACACATGTGTATTTTGCCAAAGGCAGGTTAAGTACGTAAATGGGCGATGTCGGTTCACGTTTTCGTATAGCCCCGTATAACGGTACTTCATGATATTCGGTATCTTGATGGACTTATCGACATTATTCACCCGAATTGTTTCAAATTTCGTAATCGAAGTTTGTAATGGATACTACAGCCTGTGCCTAAACATTTCGTATGCAGGTCCACTTATTCGTATATCCCTCATATAACGGTACCTCCCGATTTCAGTATTTTGATGATTTTAGCTACATTATTCACCCGAATTGTTTCAAATTTCGTATTCGAAGTTTGTAGTGGGTTACTCAACATATTAAACGTTCTTTAATTAATCTTGATTTTTTACTTGTTTTTATATATTGCAAAACTGGTAGATTTTTGCAGGTTCTGGAACAGAGAAAATGTAGGAAAGCTTAATATGATACTTCTCGAAAAAAAAAATGAGCAATTTCTGAACATGTTTCCCTATCCTTACTGGAGAAATTTGTTCAAAAAAATTTTTCAAGTGCCATGCTCTGATTTTTGATCAGTATCTTTAATCGACAATCTGTAAAACATTGAAATTTTTTCAAAGAAAAAAAAAAAAAAAAAAAAAACAGTTTTAAATAGTCTTAGTTCAGATTTAGTCCATTACTTAAGATGAGAACACATAAAACGCTTTTTTGACTGACTTATGTCATCGGCTGGCTTCTTCGTAAAAGATCAAAGAAGTTTTAGGGTGACTTAGTTCAATTATGGCCCCTATACTTGTTCATCATATGCTCCTTTGTTCTTTTGCAAAGAAGCCAGTCGACGACTTATGCCAGTAAAGAAGTGTTTATGATATCTGCATCTTAACATTTTCGACATATTCTAAAGTACGGAATTTGAATACAAAATATACAAAAACATAGACCTGTATAGATAATTTTAGTCACATATATGCGAACTCCAACTTTTTAATATCGAGAGGCATCGTTATATTCGAAGACGTGGTCTTTAAAGCCAATTTCCTATTATAGTGAACAGTTCGTATTGCAAACTCTAAACCCCAACTTCGAAACAATTTCAATGAAAGATGTGGGTAAAATAATCAAAATACCGAATTCTGGAAGGTACAGTTATAGGGGGCTATAGGAAATCATGGACCAGTATAGAAAATTATCTATCCGGTCAAAATACCGAGTATTGAGCATTGAGGTGAGAATACATAAAACACTTTTTGACTGGCTTAAGTCATCGGCTGGCTATTTCGTAGAGGGACAAAGGAGTTTTAGTTCAATTCTTGACCCAACCTCCTTTATTCTTTTCCGATGAAGCCAGTCGATGACTTAATCCAGTCAAAAAATAGTTTTATGTATTCTCACCTTTACTGTTATATGGGGTCTATATGATAAAGTTGACTTATATGACCCATTTTTAATACCAAAAATCCACAATTAATTTTCGCTGATCAAGAAAATAAACATACTTTATGATAATTAAAGTGCGTATTTCGTGAAGTTACAATGGAATGAGAAATTCAATATCCCCTTCATAAAATGGTGGAAGAATAAAAACAAAGAAACTTCGGCATAGAATTTGAACTATGTCAACCTTTTTCCTTTATTTTTCGTTTGTGTCGATAAAGCTGTGTATTTTTCTCCTCAGGCTTTAGTTTATTGTCGTTTGTACGGCAATTTGGTAATAGCGTATTGCACGGCTTTATCGTCTCATCAAGAGCCAAGTAGTTTTGACAAAAACCATATGTTATGAGTTACATATGTATGATCATAGATGGCGTTCAAAATATGTGAATTGGCTGCTCTTAACAACTAGAAAGGGACGTTTTTACATTATGAAATTACATTTTTCTTATTTTGACGCAATTATTGATTTGTTGTTGAAGTTATTAGTACTATTCTTTATCTCTTCCGTGATTTTGCACACTGGTGATCGTCTCACACAATTCACAACAACATTAAAACTGATTTGCTTTTACACACACGTAATTGTTCAATTATGCTAAAAATAACTTCAGGCCCATTTCATTAATAAAATGACCTGAGGTGCCCTTTTCTTACATAAGCAGACCTTAAGGTCATCTTTTTAATAGAAGAAACCTTGAGATCCTCTTATTTAATAGGAGATAAATTGATGTCCTCTTCTCATGGAGAAGACCTTGAGATCAACTACTTTCATAGACGATACTTGAGATCATCTTCCTTCATGTCCTCTTTTTCGTAGAAGACATCTTGAGGTCCTGTTTACTTTTACAAAAAAGTCCTTGAGATTATCTTCTTTCATTGAAAACGTATTGAGATCGTCTTCTTTCAACTTTATTCGTCATGCAATTCAAGCGTGATAGTGTGATTTCTTTATATTTGGCTGGAAAACCATAAGTGGCTATCGTTAGAGCACTCCAGCATTTAAATGTGAATAAATCTTTGGTGTCTCGTACCATCGCTCGTTACCGTGACACTGGTGGCGTAGCCAGACGTCAGGGAAGTGGACGGAACATTAGCAGAAATGGTTCGAAAAGTAAAGAAGCGACTTTATCGAAACCCGCGTCACAGTGGCCGAAAAATGGCCCATGAGCTGAACATATCGCAATATGCCATTCGGCAAATATTGAAAAATGAGCTCGGGGTAAAGTCATTGAAATTCCAAAAAGTGCAAGAACTTACACCGCAACCGAAAGAAAATAGACTCAAAAGAGCTAAAGAGTTGCTTCGCTTGGCCGTAAGTGGTGAACTGCCAAATTTGGTTTTCTCCGATGAGAGGACATTTGTTGTCCAGCAGTTCGTAAACAAACAAAATGATGGTGTTTGCTTGCCAAAGAGGTCAGCTGAAAATTTGCACCTTCGGTTGGCCACCAGAACTCAAGCGCCGGACATGGTGATGGTGTGGACCGCCATAACAGCCGATTGTCGCTCTCCGCTCGTATTAATCGACCGTGGCATCAGAATAAATGCTGAATATTATCGCGAAAATATTCTGGAGGGTGTATTAAAGCCTTGGGCACGCAAAAACTTTGGCCTCAGACCTTAGACATTCGAACAGGACTCAGCACCATCGCCACCCAAAAATGATTACAAAATGCGGTTCCTCGCTTCATTTCCAGTGGCCACCAAAATCTCCGGATACCAATCCGTTGAACTATTGTGTCTGGAGTATTTTGGAAAGCAGGGTTGGCACTAAAAAATACCAAAGTGTCGATCACCTCATGCAAGCGCTTCGCCGGGAATGGACCAAAATACCACAGAGCAACATTCGGACAGCCTGTGAAGGTTTCATTGGCCGTTTGAAAGCCATAATTCGTGCCAAAGGTGACCAATTCGAACAAATCTAAGCTTGTTCTAAAATTTAATGCTATTTCCGACATTTTTATACCCTCCACCATAGTATGGAGGATATATTAAGTTTGTCATTCCGTTTCTAACACCTCGAAATATACATTTTAGACCCCACAAAGTATATATATTCTTGATCAACCTAAAATTCTATGTCGATTTATCAATGTCCGTCCGTCTGTCCGTCTGTGGAAATCACTCTAGCTTCCTAACGAAATGAAGTAGGTTGATAAAATTTTACTCAAATATGTATTATGTCTGCAGGATTTTTGGTAATGAAAGTTGGTCATGTAGGTCCACGGCTTCGTATAGCCCCCATATAACGGTACCGATATTCGGTATTTTGATAATTTTAGCGACATTATTTACCGGAATTGTTTCAAATTTGGTATTTGAAGTTCGTAATGGATACTCATCCTCAGACAGAAAATGAGCCATGTAGGTCCACGTCTTCGTATAGCCCCCCTGTAACGGAGCCTCCCGACATTGGGTATTTTGATGATTTTAGAGACATTATTTACCGGAACTATTTCAAATTTAGTATTTGAAGTTCGTAATGGATACTACAGTCTATGACAGAAAATTGTCTGTACAGGTCCACGTTTTATAACCCCCATGGTACCTCCCTATATTAGTTATTTTTATGATTTTAGCTACATTATAAACAGAATTTTTTTTCAAGTTTCGCATTTGAATATTGTAATAGCTTGTAACAAAACACGCCTATACAGGTCCACTTCGTCGTATAAACCTTAACATAATTTTTAACGGATTTTATTATTTTTTTTTTTTTTTTTTGAAAATTACCAAATTTGTACCAAATGGTGTAGGATATTAAAAGTTCGGCCCGGGCG